GGTTCAAACGACACCGGTGTAACTTTTACTAAGTGTTACACCGCTCAATAACTTTATATTAAACGTAAATTTTGAAAATTCAACCGTTAGATTGAAAGTTCATATCTGTTAGATCATACATGTCAAATTTTATATTAATTTAAGATGATTTGATACTTCATTCTTATAAAACAAAATTGACGTAATATATACATTTTAAAATATACTAAAATATGAACACTTTGATTACCTTCAAGTTGTTCAATTTTAACAAAATTTGACATATATGATCTAAGAGATATGAACTTTCAATCTAACAGATATATATATATATATATATATATCACTACAATAAAATTGTCATACAGTGACATATATCCTATAATAACATTATATATATCACTAAAAATTACTTTTACCCACATAATAATTGTAATATATGTTAGTATATTATTAAAAAAATATGGATATAAACTATAGTGACACACAAAATATGTTGTTAAATATCATTTAAAATTAACATTAAAATTGCATGTAACTATATGTCAAATAGACATATACTTACATATATTGTACCTATAGTGACATTTTTTGTATGTCATTAAATATAACATTTCTTATATATATATATATATATATTGAATTTAAATATTTAATAAAATTAGTTGATAAATATAAAATGACATAAAAAGAGTTTTTATAATAAGAGTGACAGAAAGATATGATAATAAAATGATTTATAAATTAAAATGGTACAAAAAAAAGTTCAAGAAAATTATTGAGGATAAAAAGGGAAGAAAGTTAAATATAAGTTTCTTTGATTTACTCATGAAAATAACATTTAAAATTACATACTAAATAAATTTATTTTAATTAAATTATCTTTCAAAATAGTTAGGTATAATTTTAATTAATAATTAATAACTTTATATAATAAGATTTGTATCTAATTAATACATAATTAGTGGTTAGGTATAATTTTAATCAATAATTAATTATTATTAAATATTATTTATAATATGTTTTAACCTTTTCTAAACCAAAATAATTGACCAAAAATATCTTTCATTTTGGCTGATTTTTCATTTTCTTTTGTTTCTGAGAAAAACTCTTTCATTGTTTATAATTTTATATAATAAAATATTTATTTGTTATGAATTTTGACAAATTCAATTGTGGTTAAACTAATGATTCATAAATTAGGACGTGTATTAGATTATGATTTCAATATATTTTAAAAGATTTTTTTATTATAAAAATAAAAGTTTTGTGTTATTCAATAATTTTTTAAATAAAAAGTTATGTTATTCAATCAAGATAATGGGTATTTTTTTTAAGAGTTTAGGATTGAGGCTTTTTTTAAGAATCAGTCAAAATATGGTGGTATTCAATCAAGACTTTTTTTACTTAAAAAAAAAATTGTTGCTATTAAAAAATATAAAAATTTCAATGAATTATTTTCAATATTGAATTTTGTGAGATTTTTAGTATAATTTACATATAATACACTCACCAAAACTTTTAAAATTTTGCATGACTTTTTATTTTTACCTTTTATTTCTACTTCCTTTCTTTTTCTCTCTCTTAAATCTTTTATCTCATTTTTCTTGTTTCTTTCTCATATTTTATTTTTCTTTTCTTCTTTTTTCCATTGTCTCATTTTCACTTTATTCATCTATCTCATTTATCTTTTTTTCCTTTTCTTCTCATATTCTTTTTTTTTCTTTTTCTTTATCGTCTTTCTTGCTTCTCTCTCTCTCTTTCTCTTTTTATTCATATCTCTCATTTACCTTTTCTTCATCTTCTTCTTCTTCCCTATCTTTATTTATATATATAT